GGTGACTCCAAATCTGAGCTCACAGGGGATGTTGGAAAGTCAAAGTGACTTGGGGAAAAGTTATTGAAATGACTACGTTTTTGACAAATATGAACGAACAATGAGGAAAGATGAAAGGAATTGAAATCACTCAGCCTCAGACAAGAAGATATTCCATCTCCACCTGATATTATTTTCAAGACTTCCTGTCCAAATTCTGCTGAAATTGTTCACAACATTAATTACACAGTAAGAAAGACGCTGATATTTGCCTCTCTGATATCCATTCCAGTTTCTTCTTCACAAAGCAGAAACAGTTTTGTTTAGGAGTGGCACAACCTGACAAAAATCCTTTCCCTGGTCAAATTCTAGCCAGGCCCCTCTGAGCCCTCTTCTTGGTTAGGCCTCAGCCTTGAGGCCTCAGCCTATAAGGATGACAGACTCTTGGCACAAATGATTTCCACCCTTTACCCTCCATATATATGCATATATATATATATGTATTTTATATTTGAGACAGGGTCTCACTCTGTCATCTAGGCTGGAATACAGATGCTCAATTTCAGCTCACGGCAACCTCCGCTTCCCAGGCTCAAGTGGTCCTCCAGCCTCAGCCTCCTGAGAAGCTGGGAATACAGGCTTGAGCCACCAACACCCAGCTAATTTTTATATTTTTTTGAGAGATAAGGTTTCACCATGTTGCCCAGGTTGGTCTCAAACTCCTGAGCTCAAAGCAATCTGTCCATTTCAGCCTCCCAAAGTGCTGGGATTACAGGTGTAAACCACTGCACCTGGAAAACTCACTCACACACACACACTCTGTCTCTCTCTTGCTACATATATACACACATACATATATTTATAGGGACTATAATATAGGTAGAGAGTTATATATATATAAATAATATATATTATATATAAATAATATGTATAATATTTGTAAATATATATAATTATATATAAATATATATATATATAAATATATATTTTTTAGAGTCTTGCTGTGCCATCCAGCCTGGAGTGCAGTGGAGCGATCTCGGCTCACTGCAAGCTCCGTCTCCTGGGTTCACGCCATTCTCCCACCTGAGCCTCCCAAGTAGCTGGGATTACAGGCGCCCACCACCATGCCCGGCTAATTTTGTTTTTGTATTTTAGTAGAGATGGGGTTTCACTGTGTTAGCCAGGATAGTCTTGATCTCCTGGCTTCTGGATCACGATGGTCTTGTGATCCGCCGGCCTTGGCCTCTCAAAGTGCTGGGATTACAGGCGTGAGCCACCGTGCCCGGCCCATGTATTTTTAAAAAATCTTTGACTGCAAGATGTATTTTTATGTTTAATGCATAGAAGGTGCATATACTTATCCATTACCTTGGTGCATATATTATGGAGTACATGAGATATTTTGATACAGGCATATAATGCGTAATAATCCCATTATGGAGAATGGAACATACCCTCCATATTAAAAGACTTGACCAGACACTAGGGTCGTTTCTAACAGCTCCAGGCTGCACCCCTAGGATGACCCTAGGCTCCCTTAAAGTACCTGCGTGAGAAAAGAAAAGGCTTCGAGGAGAATTCACTATTTGTTTTTAGCCAACCCCTGAGGATAAGCCCCCCCACTTTCAGAGCATTTACTACAAAGGGCTTACAATTGAGGATCCTCTCACTGCCCCTTTGATATGTCTAGGTATCACCTACAACTCAGGGGTGTCTTCCTCAAGCATGTGAAGGTAATCCCTTTACAATGATAATCATCAGGAAGGAAGGGGCCTCTGTCTCCCAGCCTATGTGGCATCCTAACTTTGATAAATGCCAGGTGGCAGATGCAGCTGCCTCATGGGCATTTATACTGACCAACCCTTGTAATTTTTCACCCTAATTCTACTGAGCCCCACTCAGACCCTCCCTGCTGCCTCACTTTCCCTTTATTTTTTATCGAGACAGGGTGTCATTTTGTTGCCCACAGCCATGTGCCATCACACCTGGAATTTTTTTTTTTTTTTTTTTGTAGTGACAAGGTCTCAACTCCTCCTGCCTGCACCTCCCAAAGTGCTGGGATTACAGGTGTGAACCTCAGCAGCAGGCCCATTCTCCCTTTAAAATACCCACTACTTCTGTGCAAATCAGAGTTGAGTTCAGTTCACACTGGACCCTCTTCCCTACTACAATTGTAATATTATGGGCTAAAAGCTGTCCTTACCACTTTAGTGTCCAGCTTTATTTACCTTGGGATAGTGCTAAGTAAAATTACTCCCCCACCCCATTCCCTGCAGCAAAGGGTGGCCAGGGGACACTCACCTGACCACTGAGACATACGTTGAGTTTCTGGGAAGACATTTTTCTCTTGCCCTCCTGCACTCCTCCCTCACACCTTCTTTTCTGATGGCACAGGGACAGGAAGCCTAGAAACATAGCAGCCATCTGGAAATATGAGGTCACAAGCATAAGGAAGACATAGCAGGTAGCCGACTGCCTCCTGAAATTCTGCTAAGATGCTTCTTGGGCAATCAGTGACAACATGCCCAAAAAGGAACTCTAGGTCTTTCCATTTCTACCTTTGGAATTTCCAATTTTGATAAATAGCATCGCCACCCATGTGTTGTTGTTGTCAGAAACTTGGTGGATACCACTGACTGACTCTTCTCACTCCCAGTCTCCACAATTCTGCCTACCAAATATCTCCTCGAGGGCTCCTTGCATTCTTTTTTTTTTAAATTGTGGCACAGGGGGAAGGGGCGGCAGGCGCCATGTCCGGCTGCGAAGGTGGCAAGAAGAAGCCACTGAAACAGCCTAAGAAGCAGGCCAAAGAGATGGACGAGGAAGATAAGGCTTTCAAGCAGAAACAAAAAGAGGAGCAGAAGAAACTCGAGGAGCTAAAAGCAAAGGCCATGGGGAAGGGGCCCTTGGCCACAGGTGGAATTAAGAAATCTGTCAAAAAGTAAGCTGTTCCTTGTGCCTGAGGAGATGGTGACCCTTTATTTCATCCTTATTTAAATGTCTATATTCCCTGCCATAACATCTTTTGCCACCTAAAGCTGGAATTAAGTGTTGTCTTGGAGCTGTTGTACATTTAAGAATAAACTTTTATAAAAAAAAAATATTAAAAAGAAATTGTGGCACAATACACATATAATTTTCCATTTTAACCATCTTATTAAATTCTTTTTTTTTCTTGAGACAGGGTCTTGCTCTGTCACTCAGGGTAGAGTGCAGTGGCACAATCTCGGCTCACTGCAACCTCTGCCTCCCGGGTTCAAGTAACTGTCCTGCCTCAGCCTCCCAATCTTTTTAATTTTTATTTTCTTTTATTTTTTGTAGAGATGGGATTACAGGTGTGAGCGGCCACACTTGGTCATTTTAACCATTTTGAAGTATACAGTTCAGTGGGGTTTAACACACTCACAATGTTGTGCAAACATCGCCATTATCTAGTTCTAGAATCTTTTCATCACCCCAAAAGAAAGTCCCATATTCATTGAGCAGCACTTCCTATTCCTCCCTTCCTCCAGCTCAAGGCACTAATTTGCTTTGTGTCTCTAGATTTGCCTATTCTGGATATTTCATAAAAAGGAAACCATACAATATGTGGCATTTGTGTCTAACTTCTTTCATTCAGGATGTTTGCAAGGTTCATCCATGTTGTAGCATGTATCAGTACTATTCTTTTTGTGGCCAAATAATATTCCATTGTATGGATATACCACATTTTGCTTATGCATTCATCACTTGAGGGACATTTGGGTTGTTTCTATCTTTTAGCTATTGTGAATAATGTTGCTATGAACATTTGTGTATATGTTTTTGTTTGACCATCTCTTTTAAATTTTCAGGTTTATATACTTGAGAGGAATTGCTGGGTCATATGGTAATCTGTGTTTAACTTATTGAAGAACAATCAACAATTTTCCATCGCAGCTACATAATTTTACATTTCCACCAGCAATATATGAGGGTTCCAATTTTTCTGCATCCTCACTACACTTATTATTTTCTGGTATTGTTTTTAATTACAGTCACCCTAGTGGACATGAAGTGGTAGCTCACTGTGGTTCTAAGTTATATTTCCCTCCTGACCCATGATGTTGAGCATCTTATCATGTGCTTTGTTGGCCACCGTATACACTTTTTCTTTGGAGAAAAGTCTATTCAAGCCCTTTGTCCATTTTTATTTATTTTTAGTTTTTTGAGACAGGGCTCTGTCACCTAGGTTGGAGTGTAGTGGTATGATCATAGCTCACTGTAGCCTCAACCTCCTGGGCTCAAGTGATCCTCCCACCTCAGCCTCCCAAGTCAGTAGGCCTACAAGTGAATGCCACCATGCACAGCTAATTTTTAAATTTTTTGTGGAGATAGGGTCTAACTCTGTTGCCCAGGCCTGCCTTGAACTTCTGGCCTCAATAATCCTCCTGCCTCAGCCTCTCAAAATGCTGGGATTGCAGGTATGAGCCACCACACCCAGCTGTACATTTTACTTACTTTTTTAAAAAATGGCACCTTACTCTGTCACCCAGGCTGGAGTGCCGTGGCATGATCCTGGCTCACTGCAACCTCCACCTCCCAGGTTCAAGCAATTCTCCTGCCTAATCCTCCCAAGTAGCTGTGATTACAGGCGTGTGCCACCATGCCTGGCTAATTTTTGTATTTTTAGTAGAGACAGAGTTTTACCATGTTGGCCAGGCTGGTCTTGAACTCCTGACCTCAAGTGATCCGCCCACCTCAGCCTCCCAAGGCTGAGGATTACAGGTGTGAGCCACCACGTCCAGCGTCCACCTGCACATTTAAAATGGAATTGTTTGGTTTTTAGTTGTAAACGTCCTTTATATATTCTGGATATTAGACCCTTATCAGATGTGTGATTTGGTGAACATTTTCTCTGTTCTGTGAATTGTCTTTTCAGTCTCTTGGTAGTATCCTTTGATGCTACAGGGGCCAAGGGAAAATTTCCCCTTTGCCCTCTGAAGGTCTGCTGAAAAATCACCTGAAAAAAGGCAGATTAATAGGGGAAAATGATATGCAAACTTATTAGCCTGCATGGGAAAAAACCACAGAATGATTGCCCAACCCCACAATGGGGCACAGATAGTTACATTCCCTTCTTCTTAGTGGGGAAGGGAGACAAAGAATCGTGGATAATTTTAGCGGGGATAGTAAGGGATTTTTAGGGGAATTCAATGGGCTTGAAGAACAACGTCTGTTTGAAGGACAAAGTCTGCTGAACCCACAGAGCCGACAATGGTTTGTGACAAAAGTCTGTCCAGGTGTGTTCACAGATTTCAGTCTTTCTGCGACATGAGTTCAGTCAAGGAAGGGACCAGAAGTAATTACTTTCTTCTTCTTCTTCTTTTAAAAGTAGTTAGCATTTAATGAACCTCCCTCCATGTGGCTTCAAGCCACCAGGACACAGGACCCCCGACTCCCTTAAATCTTCTCCTCAGCTCTTCTGCTGAAGAATTTGGCCTTCACGACGACAGGCTGCTTTGGGAGCTTTTCCTTTCCCAGAACTTTGCAGTAGCCCAATCGCACCACATCAATGATGGGCGCAGCCCCAGTCTGGTTTTTAGCAGCATTCACCCATGTCTGCTCACTCACCAAAGTCCACAGTTTGTCAAGGCTGACAGGTGGGCAGAAGCTCTGGTTCCTCTTTAAGTGGTAATGCCTCATACCGACTTTCCCAAAGTAGCCTGGCTGGTATTTGTCGAAGCTGAGCCTGTGGTGATGCAGACCACCAGCATTACCGTGGCCTCTGGGGTGTTTTTGGTGCTTCCCTGTGCGGCCGTGGCCGTGGCTCACGTGGCCCCGAAGTTGCCAGGTCTTCCTCAGTCTGGATGGCATGTTGGCGGCCTGGATGAAAGATCAATTGCTTTCTTCCTTGGTGAGTCCAGGCTTTAGGCAGATTTGCGAGAGAACTTCATCCTGAGCTTAGGGAGAGACGAAGGATGGAGAGGCAGGAGGCAGGGGAAGGTCAGAGAGACCTGGAGGCTTCTTGCTCAGTTCAGCAGGTCAAAGCGCCATACTTTGGGGTATCGATTTTTGACCCCCAACAATGTATAAAAGTTTTTCACTTTGTTGAAGTCCAATTCATCTTTTTCTTCTGGTGCTTGTGCTCTAAGTGTCTTACATCTACTTTTGAGTGTTTTATTCCATGCACAGAGCACAAGGGTATTTTAAATACCTAAATCTGATAATGACTCCCTTGCTTCACACCTTCAATAGTTTCCCACTGTATTTAAGATAAAGTTCAAAATCCTCGCTATGGACTACAAGGCTATGCATGATTTGGTCCCTGTTCTCCTTTTGGCCTCATTTTTCCTTATTTTTCCTCGCCTGTTCTGCCTTCAGTTTCTCAGGTATACCAGGCTGTCTTAAATCCCAGGAACTTCTCACTTGCCATGGTCCCTGCCTGCAATGGTCATCTTCCTCTCTTCTCTACTTCACTAATTCTAATACATTCATCATTTTAAGTGTCACGTCCACGGGAAAGCTTTCCTTAACCCTCTGCTCCAAACTTATTCCCAGCTGGCAAAAGGTGGAATTTTGCAAGCCAATTGTTAAACATTGCATTATAAATTAAGTGGCATACTTTTACAATTAAGTTATAATAAAAACAAATGCAATAAACACTCAAAACTTTTCATGTTCTAATTATTTTATTACATTCTACATTTATGCTCCTGAGGTCACAATGGAAATAGAATGGAATGTGTGGTGGAAATAGAATGGAGTGGCCTGCTACTGTGTGTGCATCCTGTGCTAGCTAACCCTGCTGTGGTGGCAGGAGAGCTTGACATCAGCCATGGTGGGAGTATTTGAGCAAAGACTACAAATCAGGCTGGCTTAGTGAGGCTTTTTGGAAAGCAGGGGTTAACATTTACACTGCCAGTCAGATTTCCCATCACATGCAGACATGGCATCTTGAACTTGTCTACTGTGGTCCTTTCCATGGATGTAATCTTTCAATTTATTATTTGAAATAGTATATTTAATGTCCGTGTTTCTCACAAGAATGTGAACTCTGGGAGGGAGTGCGGTGCACATTGTTCCCTATTGATATCTGTATCTCCAGTACCTAGCGCAGTTCTTGGCACTTGATACGTACTTAATCATTTGTTGACAGAATGTCAATAAGACCCAAGAAGCACCCAAGAAGCAAAGTCCAATGTTTTAAATATAGATGGGTCGATGGCAGGGGTTCATCTTGGAAAGTATAAAATTTTCCATTTCACTCATTGGCTACCTTGAGGGTTTAAATATTGATGATCATTTGATTATATTCAAAGCTTACCAGGTTTAAACATTTCTTTGATGCCTTTTTAATTGGATGATAGCTAGTGATGGCCAAAGGTGACTTGACCTTGGCTACGTATTAGTTTCCTACAGCTGCCATAATAAAGTAAGCCACCCAAACTGGGTAGTTGAAGACAACAGGGACACATTCTCTCACAGCTCTGGAGGCTAAGAGTCTCAAAAATCAAGGTGTTCACAAGGCCATGCTCCCTCTGAGACTCTGGATAGACTCCTCCCCTGCCTCTTCCTAGCTTCTGGTGGTGGCCAGCAGTCCTCAGCATTCCTTGGCTTGCAGCCGCATCACTCCAGTCTCCACTTCCATCTTCACAGTGTCTCCTTCTCTTGTATTTTCTCAACATCTTCTTATAAAGACACCAGTCATATTGAATTAAAGGTTCACACTACTCCAACAGGACCTCATCATAATTCATTATATCCAATTACCTTATTTCCAAATAAGGTCACATGCTGAGGTACTAGGGGTCAGGATTTCAAGATTGCTTTTTGGGGGGACATAATTCAACCCATAATACCCTGCAAGTGGCCCGTTTCATATAGTGCATGCCCAGCGCATTACAACCAACCAGGCCAGGCAGGTGCCCGCTCATCTGCACAGCTTCATGTAATTTGTCTATAAGGCTGTTTATTTCCTCTAGCTCCAGACCTTGCCTTAGTTATGAGTGGGGAGTATCTCAGAACCCCAAAATGACCTCAAGCCCAAATATAATCATTATATTTGTTTTGTTTGAAATAAAACAACCCACAAACCATAACTGACAGGGATTGGAACCTGGCATAAAAGCACAAAGACATACTTTTAGCCCCAGGCTGGGATACCTGAGAAGAGGGAGCAATATTTGGGCCAATTCTATATAAGCATTGAAATGCCAGAAGTGATCACTACCCTCAGGACACCACCAGTGAAAGAGGTGGTGAAGGTAGAGCTAGGCGCAGCCCAGCCCTTCTGGGTCATTTCCCTATAAAAGCAGGTTACGTTTCTACATCCTTCTGGGGACATTTATTTTCAGTAAGAATTGGTATAGACAACATTTGTCAAGCTAGAAAGATCCAGAGATGTTATCCAAATCACCCCTTTATTCTACAAAACCCAGAAGGCCAGAGAGGGGGCCTGTCTTGCCCAGGGTCATCAGGTTAGAGAGTGGCAATGCCCAGGCTAGAACCCAGGTGGTCTCCATCCTGGGTACGTGCTTAATCCACTGCTTTGCCAGTAGCTTTGTGGTGTGAAGTCCACGGCTGCAATGACCAACAGCTTTTCCCTTGGTTCAAATGTAAGGTTAAAAACCCAAGGGAAGAGTATGGAGAGTGAACCAGTACAGACACGCTTCTGACATCCAGGAAACGACAGGCCTACTATGACTTCCTAATGAGAAGACAGAAAGTTACATATTCTTTTTCTTTTTTTTTTCTGTTCAATACAACATAGTAGGATTGCTACCACTAGAAGCATTATGGGAGAACAAAACACATGAGTATTAATGAGGCAGGTTTAACTCTTACTAACAAAATATTATCTTTTATATATATATATATATAAAATAATCTTTGCAATCAATTCTAAAAGCACTAGATTTGGAGTTCTGCAATCCAATTTCATTTTATTTAGAGAATTAAAATTGTGAAATATGAGCAGGAAAACCATTATCATCTGCTGTAATTGTACTCTTATATCCCGGAGACCAACACAGCTCTCATTCTGCATTCCTGCGAAGGTAACTGAGCTAAAAGTGATTACCATTGTTAAACTAAATTTGGCCTGAGAAAAGCCACCATACTGGCATATTTGAGTCCTTACATAACTGCAACCAAACTTAGTATGTAATAAACTGAAAACCCAGCTTAGGAGTATGCTTTTGTAACAGCTAGCTGAGTCTCAGCCAGTCACAGCAGCCATGCTTCAGTCAGTAGCAGGCAGCCACCTGCTCATGTTCAAATAAGGCAAGCACTGGACTGTAACCCGTCCAGTTGTTTCTGTACCTCACTTCCATTTCCTGTACATCGCATTTCTGTTTCTATTTATAAGTGTTATTCAACCGGAGTATTAAACTCCGTCGGAGCCCCAGTTTCTCTGAAACTGTTCTGGTGCTGAGGACTGCCTGATTCATGTTTTGCCCAATTAAACTCTACTAAATGTAATTTGTCAAATGTTTCTCTTTTAACATAATTATTAAGTGCTCTGATTTTTTTAAAAGGCTCTGGAAAATTTCTGGTTAAATGTGGCAGATTAGACACTTACTTGTATCTCCATTGTCTCATGAAATCCCACTAAAGTGATAGTAAAGGGGGAAAGAAGGCAAACCGCAAGTTCTAAGGGATTGGAAATGGAGACAACTGAGACAAAAAAAAAATCAACAGAAAAAAAAATTGGGAGCTGGAAAGAGAAGAATGTGCGTGTCAGACTGATTTATCAAACCAAAGGAAACAGAACCCCAAGCCTGCCGTAGGAGAAGGCAGCAAGAAGGTAACTCACTCTGCCAAACATGGCAGAACCTGGGACTCTGAAAGCAGGGGTGCAGAGAACGGCTGAAAACAAGGCAGCTTAAATCAATGGGAGCAGCAAGACTCCCAGATTTCCTCCTTGACCTACACAACAGATGATGCCCTCTCCCCAATCCTGGCAGGAGACTGGAGGTTCACTCTGTGGACAAACCAAATCAGAGAAGACTTAGGGATCCAAGCCAGGCCTGAGACACCCTATTGAAATTGGGTGAAAGTCTACATACCAGATGAAGAGATTTCATCCTCCTCCTCCTGCTGCACCCTCGGAACACCAGCAGCCAGGCATATATATAAAATCCATGCAGGAGATGAGGGGATTTGACTTTGGAGCCTCTGACCAGTCCAAGTTAGATCCCGACAAGTGGGTAGTTGGGTGTGGGGTGGTGTTCCACTGTGAAGAGATTGGGCCTTGACTGATCTCTTAACGATGGTTCTCAAACTCAGCTGCACATTAGAATCACCTGGAAAGCTTTAACATGTGCTAATGCCTGGAGATTCTGACTTAATTAGTCAGACATACAGCCCCAACTCAGGAGTTTTAAATGTGCCCCAGGTGATTCTAATGTACAACTAAGCCTGAGAAACTCTACTTTAATAAAACCTATCCCTCAACACCTTCTTGTAAGTGCCTCATTCCTGATCTTTTCAAAGAACCAACTTTTAGTTTGATTGATTTGCTCTATTCTTTGTCCATTTTCTATTTCATTGATTTCTGATCTTATTTCCTTTCTTCTGCTTACTTTGGGTTTAATTTGCCCTTCTTTTTCTACTTTCTTAAGGTAGAAACTTAGAACACTAATTTTTGACCTTTTTTGTTTTCTAAAAGCTGCATTTAATGCTAAAAATTATCTTAAATCTCTGCTATAGCTGCATCCCACAAATGTCGTTATGTGGGGCTTTCACTTTTGTTCGGTTCAAAGTATTTTCTAATTTCTCTTGTGATTTTATTCCTTGGCTTATGGGTTATTTAGAAGTATGATTGCTTAATTTCCAAGTATTTGGGGTTTTTCCAGATATCTTTCTGTTACTGGTTTTAAGTTTAATTGTGTTGTGGTCAGTTAATATGCTTTGTATAATTTTGATCTTTTTTATATATTAAGACTTGTTTTATGGCTCAGAATATGTTCTACTTTGGTGAATGCTTTATGTTCACTTAAAAAGAATGTGTATTCTGTTGTTGGGTGGAATGTTCTATAGTTGTCAATTAGTCAAATCAGTTGAGAGTGTTATACAAATTGCCTATAT